ATATCGAAGCATATTCAATCACATTGCTATCACTTAAAATATTAATGATAATTTTAGTGAGAACAAAAAGTACCATATAATATAAATAAAATAATTTAGGATATTATTTATTTCATCTTTATATTTCTATTTAAAATGTCTACTTTTGTGTATGCTTTACAATATACATAATTGAACAATAGCATATGAATGTAATTTATAATTAAATATACATATATTGAGTGTGCATGCTCACAAATATTTAAATGATAGGAATGAATGATCAATAAAGTTTGGAAATTGTTGATCTAGTTGATAGTACAGATATTGCTGCGAAACTTCTAAAATTTCCTTTTGCTAAGGAAACCTTCCTCTTCTATATCTCTGGCTAATCAGTCTTCCTCTTCAAGTTTCTCCACTGACTCCCTGCTGCTTTCCAAATCAAGTTGAAATTTTTCTGGACTGTAAGATTTGCTATCACTCTGCTCATATTTGTTATAGATGGTAGTGTTTTTCTCCCATCTTCATCAATTTCTTCTCTAATGCCAACAAAAATCTCTCTAGCTCTTTAGAGGCTGGGCAGTGAGAAATCAGTTTTCAGTTAACCCTGTGTAGGTTTTTGCATTGGAAGAGAATCTGTGTTAACCCCAGAAAAGCTTTTATGTCTCTCTGCACAGCTTCCTACACAGGTTACATGTAGGTTCTAATGTTCAAATTCCTAGCACACATATTACAGTCATTCCATATATCTTGGACCTCTGATTCTGCTAATGTCATTTTCTAATCCTGACTGTGCCTAGATTTATCTGCACAAAAGGGAACTACTTTGACAAAACAGCAATATTCGGAGAAAATATTTTTATGTCGTTTCCTATGGTTGCAAGAAATAAACTATTTGACATGGAATTTTACTAAATGCAATGATCAAATTGGGAAATTCTGCATACTATTCAAAGATTTGCGTGAGATTTTTGCAATGTACCAGTAGTATAAATATGATCATAGGATTGAAGCATCACAGGTCTAGCAACATCTCTTGAATATGCCCCTCCTCTCCTCTGATACTGCCACCCCTCTGGTACAGGTCCTCATCTCCGCCTAGATTATTACAATAGCTTCTTGGTTTGTCTCCTTGTTTCTATCCCCACTCCGGTCCATCTTTTACTCAGCCATCCAAATGATCTTCCTAAAGTGCAAGTTTGACCATATCATCTTCCCCTGCCCATTCCCCACTCCCCCAACACAATAAAATACATTGAGTTTCTATCACCTCCAGGATTAAATATAAAATCTCCTGTTTGGTGTTCAAAACACTAGCTCCACCCCTCCCCCTCCCAATCTTTCTGATCTTCTTATACCATACACTCCCTCATATAGTTTGTGATGTATAGATAGTAGCTTCCTTGCTGTTCCTTAATGAAGACATTCAATTTCTTGGCTCTGGGAATTCACTGTCTGTCTCACATGACTGAAATCCTCTTTGTCCTCATCTCTACCTCCTGGCTTCCTTCATAATCCAACAAAAATTCCACCTTCTACAGGAGGTCTTTCCCCATCCCTCTTCATTCTATTGTCCTCCCCATCCCTCTTCTACTGTCTTTCCTATTTATCCTCTGTATGGCTTGTTTGTATGAATTTGTTAGCATGTTGTCTCCTCCATTAGATTGTGAGCTCCTTGAGGGCAGGTACTGTCTTTTTTTGTTCTTTACATCTTCAGTGCTTGGCATAATGCCTGGCACATAGTCAGCACTGAATAAATGCTTATGGATTCACTGACATAGCCAGCAGGGATGTTCAAAAACATCCACATACATACGTATTTAATTATTTGTAATGAGCTATTGGAAAATGGTGTGCTTTAAAACACTATCATACATATTTCCAACTTATTTTAAGTCAATATGAATATGCAGTTAATGCATATTCACCAGTTTTCTTTAGTGTAAATAATAATACATTTATCTTTAAAAAGTACTTTTCTTTTCCTGCTGTTCTTGGAAAGTAAAACTTATCTCTATAGCATTCTAGCAGCACGGAGCCTCTGGGGATTTTAGCCTAATCTATTCAACTTGTAGATGAGAAAACTGAAAGCCAGAGGGGTTAAAATACAGTTATGTATAATAAAACCCTGATTAACTAGAGTATCAATTAATTGGCTCTCCCCTCTTCTCTCTCTCCTCCTCACCTTTTTGGAGGAATATATAAATGACAATACAAGCCACTGTCAGGTAGGGGGCAGTGTGACATAAAGGAAAACACACTAGAATAAGGAGACTGCCTTAGTCCCAGATCCTGTTATTAACAGGTAGGTGACTTTGAGTAAGTCATTTCCTCTCTTTAATCTCTTTTTTCTTCTATAAAATAGGAGAGAAGGAAAGCAAGATGGAATCACATAACCCCTTCTGTAGGTGAAGCTGGGTGAGGTGATTGTAGGGAAACTAGTGAGCCAAACTAATTTTGTTAATAACAGCAAGTGAATAGAAGTTCTTTTGATTCTGTATGTACTCCTTCAAATTCAAAACCTTTTTTTTTTTTTTTTCACAGTTTACTCAGGGCATGGCACTCAATTGGCAACCAAAGGAATTGTCCCTTCTGAATCGTATAGAGAAAGATATTCACTTCTTATAAAAGGATCAGAGCAAGGGCACATCTTTATAGTAATTTTAATACCTCATTAACCCTTTGTGATTACATTCTGTGCTGTAGTAGAGAAGGGTTGGTCAAAAAGCAATTTCCTATACCTGTTCCCCTTTTTAGCCTTAGATTTGAGATTTGGTTTCTCATACTCTTAATTTGTGCTTTACTCTTCATCTGTGACCTTTACCACATGATCAAGTTTTACAATTTTTTTCTTCACATGGAAACAGATTGGAGAAAACATTCTTTCTTTGGGAAGGGGGAGGGGAAGGATTATTTGGTATGGGGAATTATAACTACAACTCCCATTTAAAATGTTGTATAGCGTATGGAGCACCTTCCTTATTCCATAGATAAAAAACCTTAAAGTTCAGAGAGATCAACACAATGCCATTATAGCACTATATCAGTTAAAAACACATATGGAATTAACACAAATATTTAAGATCTTGTGCCATTCTCTAATAGATAGATGGCCAATGGATATGAATGAACAGTTATCCAAAAAAAAAAAAAAAAGAATCTGAAACTACGAACAGATGACTGAAGCATTGCTTCACATCGGTAGTAATGAAACACATATAAATTAAGAGAACAGTAAGGTTTTACCTAATACCTGGCAAATTGAGAAAGATTTTTAAAAAGTGGGAATAGTCAATGCTGGAGGGACTTTAAGAAAACGGTCATACCAATGTACTGTTGGTAGAGATGTAAATTGGTTCAATCATTTTCGAAAACAATCTGGAATTATGTGAAAAAGTGACTAAAATATTGATATACTTTGACCAAAAGATTCCACTCAAAGGCACATACTCCTAGATAAGAAAAAACAAAAAGGTCCCTTCTATACCAAATATTCATGACAGCACTCTGTGGTAGCAAAGAATTGGAAATAAAGTAGACACCTATTGATTGCAGATTAGCTAAATAACTTGTGTTACAAGAATGTAATATAATTACACACAAAGAATTTTTAACATGATGAATTCAGACAAACAAAGGAAGACACATGAATTAATGCAGAATGAATTCAGTGGAACCAGGACAACAATATACACAATAACCTTAACAATGTTAATGGAAAAAAACAATGAAATGAAACTGAATGCCATGTAATTATTATGAACAACCTTGGTTATGGAGAGGAAACAATAAAACGCTTCTCTCCTTTCACTGGAGAAGTGAATTCTATAGACTCGTGCACATACTGTCAGATACAGTGGATGTGTTGGTTAACTTTGTTGAACTCTAAAACCTGTAATTGTTATAAGGGCAGACTTACTAGGTAGGGGAAGGGAGGAGGGATGTATTCAGAAATGAATGTGATAGAAAAAACAAAAGCCTTTAATAAAGCTTTTAAAAAAGCACATTAACCTTATTAAATTATAGTGAATTTTGTCATATATTCATTTTGGAAAGAACTAGTCATGTGGTGTTAGAGATTAAATATAAGAAATAAATGAATGACTGGAACATTATAGATGTTTAATAAATGCAAGTTGAATTTAATTTCATTGATCATTCCTCCCTTTCCTTTCTTTACATTTCTTTCCTTCCTTCCCTCTTTCCTTCCTTCCATCATTCTTTTTTTCTTTCCTTCCTTCCTTCTTTCCTTCCTTCTCTCTTTCTTTCCTTCCATCATTCTTTCTTCCTTCCTTCCATCATCTTTCTTCCCTTCCTTCCATCTCTCTTTCTTTCCTTCTTTCTTTCTGTCTTTCTTTCTATCTTTCTTTCTTTCTTTCTTTCTTTCTTCCTTCCTTCCTTTCTTTCTTTCTCTCTTTCTTTCTTTCTTTCCTTCTTTCTTTCTTTCTTTCTTTCCTTTCTTCCTTCTTTTCTTTCTTTCCTTCTTTCCTTCTTTCTTTCTTTCTTTCTTTCTTTCTTCCTTTCTTTCTTTCCTTCTTTCTTTCTTTCTTTCTTTCTTTCTTTCTTTCTTTCTTTCTTTCTTTCTTTCTTTCTTTCTTTCTTTCTTTCTTTCTTTCTTTCTTTCCTTTGTTCCTTCCTTCCTCCCTCCCTCCCTCCAGAGAATCCTGTTCTCTAATCCATAGGGATTTATTTTGTGAGAAATTGAATCTGTTACTGTAAAGGTGCAAAGCCTTTGATGGCATACAGAGTTCATTTTTAAACTGTGCCTAGAGTGTGCCAAATACCTTGCCTTAGCTCTGATTATTGGGCCAGGGATTGAGTGAGTCATAAGATAAGGTATCTGTAAGTCTCTAGTTTTTAGGGGCATCTCTTGCCAAAAGGAAGACAGAACCACTTTGGTCTTTTTCTCTCTTGGTTCAATACATCCAGGTCTCATATCTTGTAGCCAGAGATTCTGGTATAAGTGGTGCCTACTTTTTTTTTGTTTGCTTTTTGTTAATGACATTATAAATTGAACATTGAAAAATATAGAGAGCTTCAGAAACTAGTGTGTCATCCTTGTGCGGAGGACACACTAGTCGACTTTGTACTGTTCCAATTTTATTATATTGCTACCAAAGAAAACATTATTTTGTTTCTTAAAGCATACAATATGCCATAATTAACACCAAGATATCTATAACTTTAAGAGCTAATGTTCTGATTTCTAACTTATTCTTTGAATTGTGAGAGTTTACATTTTAGCCTTGATCTTTCATGAATTTTCATGTAATTTATGATGTGCATTTTTCACTTAATTAAATTTAACTTGGTGAGATCACATGCTGGGAAAAACTGGGCTTCTGTAAAATACGCCCTCTTTCATTTCCCATTTCTATCAATATCTCCCCTGCTCCTCACTTCTTCCTTTGATGTTTTACCTTCCATTTTCTATTTCATGTTATTCCCCAAAATCCCTCTTTATGCTAGAAGACTTTTTGGTAGCCAAAGAAACTCTCAGCAACAATCCTAAAAAAAGGTGATATAGACATGTTGTCATCCTTAGCTTGAAGGGACAAGTCTTAATGGGGATTTCTGGTCATGACACTTTTGCATGGATTTACTTGTATGCCCTTCAACATCTTTCTGCACCACAGTTGACTGCTGCCAATAGGCCTAAATCTGTTCACAGGGTCATGTGTTCTAGGAAATTCATGGCAGAGCCACATTAGAGTATAGATATACAAAGTAGGATCACAAGGATGAGAAAGGGTTCATGGTTTGGAATCAGGAAACTAAAGTTGCTAGCCAACTATTTGATTAAGACTAAGACCTTTCAACTAACCAAACTAACCTTCTTGTTCATCTCTTTTGATTGGGACTAACACCTGACCTAACATATTCGTACTGTTGGTAGTAGTATAAAATAGGATGTTATATAAAAATTCAATATACTAATAGAGGTAAGTAACACCTCAGCTATTGGGTCATCTTAATCTCAGATCATAGGTGAGAACTAAAAATGAAACAAACAAAAGATTTCTAAGGGGCCAAGAGAATTTTCTTAAAGTATATAACTAATGTTCTTTGCCCCTATATGAGACCCTCAGTACATTGTAAATTTCATGAATTTGGCTCCCTCAGTTTTAACTAGCTTGGTTTTCCAAATACACAATGGATTAAAAGTAGCAAATACAGAGAAAAACTCATTATTGGGAAGCATACTTATGAGAGCAAAAGGCTTCAACTGATAGCTTGATTGCAGGGGAGAGAAGAGAAAAGTATAATGAGCAAAAACAAGAACCAAAAAAGTACAGTAAACTAACACTATTTAGTATAGGGGAAAATAACCCTATTCTTTTTAGTAATGCTTAGGCATTGCTTGTAGCATGGTACAGCTAAGAGGCACAGTGGACAGAGTGCTGGGTTTGGAGTTAGGAAGACCCAAGCTCAAATATGGTTTCAAATACTTTCTAGCTGTGTGGTCCTAGGCAAGTCACTTAACCTCTGCTTGTCTCAGTTTTCTCATCTGTGAAATGGGGATAATAATAGCACCTACTTTTCAGGGTTTTTGTGAGGATCAAATGACATAATAATTGTAAAACACAGCACAGTGCCTGGCACATAGTGCTAAATAAATGCTAGTTATTATTATTATCATTAATAGCAATGACCCTGAATCTTCAAGAGAGGTTAGATTATGTTTAATGTACTGTATTTTATAAGGGAGGGACAAGTATTTATGAGGATTTCAGGTCATAATTCTTCTATATGGATTTACTTGTATGCCTTTCAGCACCTCTCCCATCACACACCACATGTGTGAGACACTCTAAAGCAGGGGTGGGGAACCTGCAGCCTCGAGGCCACATGTAATGCTCTAGGTCCCCAAGTGTGGTCGACCTTTTGACTGAATGCAAACTTTACTGAATTCAGTCAAAAGGTCACACTTGAGGACCTAGAGGGCCATGTGTGGCCTCGAGGCTGCAGGTTCCTCATCCCTGCTCTAAAGTATGTGAGATACTTTGGAAAGGTTACTGTTTAAACTGGTAAAAAAATATGATCCTCAACTTTCCCAAAAATTTGGCCAGCTAAAGTGATTTCATTAGCTAAGAAATCCAGATAGCCAAGGTTTTACTGTAATAATATTAAGCCTTCCCCTTTATGTGTTAGTTGTGTTGTAAAGGTTAAAGCTTTCAGTATTAGGGGAAAAAAAAACAATTCTTATTCTAATTAAGGTTGGCGTGTCTGACATCCTGAAGATCATGGTAGATTATTTTCTTTTTTAAAATAAAATTTCATTTAAAAAATTAAGAAATATTCTCTCCATTACCCCCTCCCACTCCATTGGAAATAAAATAAGAAAAATAAATTCCTTGTAACAAATATGAGGTCAAGCAAAACAAATTCTCTCATTGTGTTAAAAATATATGTCTTATTCTGCTTCCTAAATCTCTCACTTTTGCATTAGGAGGTAGATTACATGCTTTATCATCTGTGCTCTGGCATCACAGATGGTCATTGTGTTGATAAGAGTTCTTTATCTTTCAAAGCTGTTGGTCTTTACACTGTTGTTATTGCATAAAATTGTTCTCTGCTGATATAATTTATCATCTTATAAAAGACTTACAAAAATCTTCAAAATTGTTTTATAATGATGTGATGTTTTAGTATAAATTATTAAAAGTGGACTCTTTTTGCATTTTTCATCTTAATTTTTAAAGTTTGTCAATTCAATTCAACAAAAATTTATTAGGTGGTGAATAGTCAGTCAATATATATATTTCTTAAACACTTATGTATCAGGCTCTGTGCTAAGCACGGGAAATAACAAATATAAGCAGAGAGAACAGTACCTGTCAGGGATGTGCTGGTAAAACATTTAACAACCAGCTCTATGAAAAAAACCCCAAACTGTACCCATAGCATACTTTTAAGTTTAATCTACATTATTACCATCACCCCCATCACTTTCTTAACTTTAGACAATCAACACAACAATAAATCAAGGTTTGATTTACAGTTTGTTTATTTTTGAGGTGTAAATGATCACTCAGAAAATTTAAGAATTCCTTGAAGCATTCAGCTGACTCCAACACAGCTCTTCTCCATCATTCTAATGATGGAAGACAACACATAAAAGAAGCTAAAAAGTGTAGGGAGGGTAGGGATGGTATAGTATGCAGGAGAAATTCTGGATACTCACGATCAGAGCCTAGAAAAGAATGAAGACATGGCTAACTGGGCACTTTCCCAAAATATGGAGGTTCTGGGAGGACATAACCCATCAGAGGATGGAGCTCAAGAGGTTGAGTGTACTTCCAGTATGGATGGGGGAGGGAACAAGTATTTATTAATCACCAACTGTGTGCTAGGCACTGTGCTAAGTCTTTTACAAATATGATCTCATTTGATCCTCACCACAACCCACAAACTCACCTATTATTATCCTTATTTTACAACTGAGGCATTCGTAACCACAGCAGACAGAGGTTAAGTGACTTGCAACCAGGGTTACACAGGTGGTAAATGTTTGAGGCTGGGTTTGAACTCAGATATTCCTGACTTAGAGCTCAGTGCTCTACCCACTGTACCATTTAGCTGTATCTATGGGTGAAATGAACCTTCAGAGTGAAGAGGCCACAGAGGCAGAGTGGACTTTCATTGTGAGAAGGCTTCTATGATAGGGTGGAAAAAAATCTAGATCGTCTGGGTGGAACCTAGAGAGGAATTCCTTGCAATTATACTAGGCAGGAGGATACAAAGAAAGAAAGAAATGGAAATGTTCCTTTGTCTCAGAGTCGGATTCTACTGATTATGAATAGTTTAAGGGCCACTTAATCCATATTTCTGAGTTTTTAAAAAGATATTAATCTGAATGCTTTTTGGAAAGGGCTATTTGCTGTCTGAAAATGATGTTCAATGAGTTCTTTGTTTTCCTATCATGTTCATTTTTTAATCTACATCTCGCTCTAGCAAGTAATCCTCTAATTGTATCAAAGAAGAAATAGCTAAGCAAAACCCACCAAAATACACTGAGAATATAAACCATATTTCATATCCAGAGGATCATTTTAGATAATATTTGTAAAGCACCTAGTAAAATGCCTGGCATATATTAGGCACTTAATAAATGCTTGTTTCCTTCCATAGCACTCCCCTGTTGGAATGAAGACAAGGAATGCCCATGTACATAAACAAAAGAAACGGATGAAGCAGTATATATATATTTATATGTATGTGTATATATATATATTTATATGTATGTATATACATATATATTGCTTTTTGGTGAGGTAATGGGGGTTAAGTGACTTGCCCAAGGTCATACAGCTAGTTAGCATCAAATGTCTAAGTCTGGATTTCAACTCAGATCCTCCTGACTCCAAGGCTAGAGCTCTATCCACTGCGACATCTAGCAGCCCTGAAGCAGTATTTTTCAAGCCCTTACTATGTGCAGTGAGTATTATGTTAAGTGCTGGGGATATATACACCAAAGTGAGATAGTCACTGCTCTTATGGAGCTTACATTTTAATAGGGAGGATACATATAGGTTAGTGATGGCCAGGGAAAAGTGTTTTAGTTTGAGAAGTCTTATGGATGTTGAATGGAACGATAGGGTTGTTTATTGATATACCCTTACCAGAAGCAAAGGTAGTGCTGGTTTGGTTCCCAGGGCAAGAGGTGGGAACCAAGTGGGGATGTGTTGTGGAAAGGTCAAGAAAATGGTCAAGGTGAAGCATGTTAGGGGGAGAGGGGATTGGCTTAATTTAAGGGACTCTCTCCAATCTGGATAGTATGGCTCCATGGTAAGAATTCCAAATCTGAGCAGTTTAGCTTTTCCAAGGCATGACCTCTGAGTTTGGGTTGGAAGTTCTGGTTACAATGATGTAGTCATTGTATGTATATTTTCCTGGTTCTGATCACTTTATTCTTCACCAGTTAGTGTAATTTTCACTTTTCTCTCTAAAGTCTTCATATTCCTTTTTTCTTATGGTACAGAAATACTCCAGGACAATTCAAAAGAAGCTTTAATCTTCATTCACCATTTTCATCATGGGTCCTTTGAAATTTTTTTGCATCATTATATTTATCTTTGAGCTAAATCTTTCATGGTTGATCATTGTTACAGTATTGCTACTACTG